CTCCTTGGGCTCCAGCGAACCAGAACAAAAATTTCAAAAGCTGTTTTGTCTTTCTGATTTACCAATCAGTTACAAACATAGAAAATCTGAAATAAGTCAAAGAAGCTCAGAGTCAAACATTAATAAGCATTCCGTGATAAGGCAAGTCTTTGCGTGGGCTCGCTGATGTTTAAGGTAACGTTTGTTCGTTTCTTTGATGTCAACATAAACTAAATTGCACTGGATATAGCTCATGGATTAAATTCATCCTCAAATATCCTACGACATCCAACTCTTCGCCGTGATCTTGTACATGTAAAGACTGGAGCTCAACTTCAAAGATGTACGATTTGTAATGCTGATATGCCATGAACCTAACGGATACAAGCCTTGAAAAAGAAACGTTCGATCTGGAGTTGTTTGCGGCGTACATGACCTTGATTCTTGTCTTCGTTGCAATTATTATAAAGTCGGTTTTGTTTGCGTAACTGAAACAACAACTCTATTATAAATGGCACACAATGGTGGCGGCCATTTAATTATAACTTTTCGTGAACTTTTATGGAGGCGAAGCGTAAACAAATGCGGGAAGCACAGATAACGGAGTAATACTGAAAGCTTTACTTCGTGTGATGAATTACGGATAATAGACATGAAATTGTGGTGATGCACTCAACAAAGAAATATCAGATATGCATTATTCATGTTAGTCAATTTGCAATGTTCCATTGATTATGAATACAACTTGAATTAACACCTCATATACTTAACTTATGGATGCTTGATACGTGGGAAAACTTAATCTTCTACACGCACGACAAGAATTCACAAAAATTATGAAAAAGTGAACAGAGCTTGAATCAAAAAGTAACAGCTAGAGCAACGATGATTAAGTTATCAAGATGAACCGAAGGTGGTGAACTTGGCATTATTAATAACTTTATATTGATCGAAAACACAGATGTATCCCAACGATTTTCTTAATCGTAGTAAAGCTGTTATTTGCTGGAATTTCATAGAAAAATTTCAAACCGTTATTTGCGTAAGACGCATTAAGCTTCACATATTAATGAATTCATCTTTAGCTATTTTTAACACGGAGCAGTTGTGTCATGTGCCAGATCTTTCTCAAACTGTATTTATCCAATTCAATAGGTGTTCGTAATAACAGACAATATTGACAATTACAATCAATGCGACTGCTTCCTTAAATTCGAGCCTATCCAGCGAGGAAACCGGCGATTTCTTTTCGTATACATCTCAGAACATGTTACATAATCAAGTCATTAAAGTCAGAAAATTGTGTACCTACGAGTGACAATTAATTCTATTGACAAAATGGGTTGATCTTGGTAGAAAAAAAAAAAATAAAAGATAAAACCAAATAATTACTCAGAGCAGAGTTAGTAATGAAGACGCTTCTATTCTAATGATGTATAACGTTGGATTCGCTTGCGGCTCCTTTTAGAAACATGACGTGCAAGCTTCCAAAATCTCAGTTGTGAATTTGCATTAGACATTGTACTAATAGGTTGAAGGCTCCAAATCCTCCTTCGTTGATTGTGAGCGGTACGGCTAGATCAAGAGAGCTAGTTTTAATTCATAAGCGCACATAGCTCAGACACCCTGATAAGTCAGAATGCATCCTGCAACCTCTCTTATTGAACTTTGCGCATTTCTGAAATAAAAAAAAAATCATTGAGATAAAATGAATAAATAAAAAGATAAAACAAAAGAAGCTAGGTCGCTCCATGCTCAGCATGCTTTTTTTCCTACTGATCTCTCAGTATATCAGATTATCTTTATTTTAATTTCAGTGGTTTCGTTAGCTCGTGTTGTAGAACACCTGACTACAATGCAGGAAGTCGAGGGTTTTAGCCTCGAAAATGGTTAGAAATTCTAGTCTTCTCAGATAAGGACGATATAACATGGGCCCCGACGCTTGCATATTCTCTGTACTGGTTAGCAGGGTACGTTAAGGATCCCTTGCACTTCTCGCAAAGCGTGTGGAACATAGCTCCCGGTGTTGTGGTCTGGCCTTGTTGTTTTATACAGGCCCTTATTGAAACCAGCTCTGAAGCTGAATTGAGCCAGTCTGTTTAAATTTTGCAAATGAATAAATAAATGAAATAAAATAGAACCCTAACTCTAAAAGTTCCTATTTTTCAACAGAGGTGTAACTTTTCGATCGTAAGTAATACACTCCCCAAACGCAAATGTCTAATATACTTCTTGACTCAATTCTTCGTCGAAAGTGATCATTCTACATCCTAGCGAATAACTCGACATGTCCACCACTTCAAGAATTGTTTCGACTGGATTCTTACAAAAGTTCTGTGTTTGTGAGATATTAGCACCAGTCCCATACGCTTGCCGCCTGCAGCCGATTTGCACGTCGACGATGAGCCCAACCATTCAAATATCCTGTGATTTTTGAGACACGGAACAGTATGGATCCGGTATCCGTCCTCTCTGATTGACGTGATATATAGAGCTAAAATGAGTGATTATGAGAAACAAAAGGGTGGTAGATACAATGCCCAGGGTTATCCAACCGCCAATCTGAAGAAGAAAGAATAGATATTGCATGAGATGCCTTTGCTTAGGTTCCCTTTAGGAGGATATCGATCTCTGACACCAGTAGTCGGCTAAAAAAAATCACAGTGAAGGTGTTTTCACTCGACTAAAGGTCCAAGTCCAGAATCTGAATTGTAAATTTTTTCGTTTTCAATTTGATCTTAACCATTTCTTAGAGCAAATTTCAAACTCACGCAAGTTGATCGCTGTGTGCGTATTCAACTGTTTCGAGATTGTCACGTGCACTTTTGTCCTGTTTTATTCCAACAAAATTTCTTGAAGCAGCTGTATATACATGCAGAGTCAAGCGATCCCGTTACACATATGTATAGAAAACTCGCCCTGACGAAAAACTAACGCTCGAAACGTCAGCTTTGAGACTATTTACAGTGGCTAATTTACATTATCAACTCAGTTGATACAACCAAATTATCTTGTTAAAAAAACACAGCTATTTGAGTGAAAGATCAGAACAACGCCAGCTATTTTTTGGCCTTTAAATGTCGTTGTTAATTTCTGGTTTTGTGTCGTCTTGCATTTAGTACATTTTATACCGCTTTAGTTCTATTTTAACTATAGGGACTTGGCAATTAAATTGCATTATTTAAACGATAGAAAATGCCAAATATATCTTACAAAAGTTGTGAAACAGAAATATCAAAGCATGTCGGAGACTTTGTGATTCGTGCGTGACGTCGACACATGTCAGATGATGAGTGTGAACATGATTATGTCAAGAGCTAGAAGCACCGCCTTACGAGATTTTGGGACATTGATCGGTTTACATGATCAACGCAACCTTGAATGACCTTTTAAGTCAGCACTTAGCAACAACCAATCACAATGTAGAGAATATCGTATAAGAAAGTGATTTCTTACAAAATTTGCAGAGTAGCTTTTTACACACCCGTTGTACATAGGCGAATACGAGAGTGGAATACTGCAACAGTTTGATTGAGTCTAGCTCGTTAGAATTCTATCCCAAGTAAACGGGGCAAGTTTACGAAAAGCAGCCATTTGATAACCACGAACACGTTGTATTTCCCCCCTTCGTTACGTAAATGCAAATTTACACCCTGGGACGGGAGGGTGGGGGACTAAGTACCCCCGGTGTATGGCTCATACATGACCATACAGGGAAGCACGCTAGACAGGGTAATTTTTTCCTTTTTTTTTTCCCTAAGATCTGGTATAGTCCCTTGCACCTATCCGCCGGCGGAATAACTTTTTCGCCTATCTCCTTAAATACGATGTAGTGTGCCGATTGGAATCTGAAGCGTATGGTAATGGAATTTCAGAAACCATCACAATGTCACGATAAATGCGCAAGCTCTTGCACAGTCCTTCCTTAACTAGCAAGACCTAATTTTTCCAAGGGAAGAAATTAATGAAATAAATTGAATTAGGTTAGTTATCGTAATTGGTAGGTTAAGAGGTGATAATTGTGTCGAGCCAAACACACCAGTCAACGTACCTTTCTGTAGAATACGACGCTCTTGTCCTCATCAGCATGTTCAACGCGTACTCTGTTTGTTGGCTCGCCATTGCCTCTAAAGTTTGTACTAGTCCTAATGGAAGATTCAATAACCACTGTTGTCTGTCTGCTTGAGACTAGAACTTCACTGGAAGGTTTCGGCATGTTCATTAAACTCATATTTGTTGAATTAAACATCTTCAATGCCGTTGTTTCCACAACAAGTCTCGTAGTTCTCGCAATGGATTTTACAGATGGAGAGGGGCTTACAGACGCTCGCAAAAAAGCCGGAGAACCTTGATTTGGCGCTGCACCGGTGGCTGAAGTGTACACTTGAACACAGGCAGAATACAAAATGAAACACTTGGGTACCAAAAAGCGACGAGTAACTCCAAAGGTCAGCGCTGTTCGAAGCACAGATTTTTCCATAGACATTCTACGCGTGACTGTCGGCTTGCTGTTGTAACTGATTTCTGTCGTTATCTGTTAAGGCGATGTAACATAATAATCACATCAACGCATAACGAATCTTTGCAGTGGCCATGACACGGCTAAGCTTCACAGATGTTTTCAATCTTTTGTTCGCATGAAACTTGAAAAAAAAAAAACCCTAAAAAATAAAACACACAATGAATATTTTCTCGAGACTGTTTGTATGAACAGTCTGTCATCTTCAAGTGTTGTTGAAGCGGCGAAACAATAGTAAAAAATGATGTAACGTATGAGTGCTTTGAAAATGGCAGCCTTCCAAATCTACTGAATGGTAAACAATTGCAAAAGTTATGGCTGGACATTAAAATTGCTTTGAGAGCTGTAATTTGTTTGGGCTTTGATTAATGCAAGAACTGAAATTTGGTTGCCCTATTATGTAATTTAAGAAGGAATAATGTGAGTGGATTTAAGGAGTTTTTCATGAATGTTAAAGCACCTTTTCTTTAGCTTGTGAAGGACGTCGACGTCAATTTAACTGTATAAATCAAGTAATTAAAAGCATTTCTGTCATTTTGTTCACGTTTTCAAGTGCACTATAATGAAATAACACATTTACCTTAGCCGCAATTCTCTTGTTAATTTTTTAAAGCTTTTTTGCCGTTGAATTGACTTTTGAAGCTAATTTCCGTTTACTGATCAAGTTTCTTTCGAAACATTTTCCTAGGAAATACTAACTTTTTTTCAGCAATTTGCAAACGCACGGCAAATAAAGACGCATCAACTGTAGTCTGTTCGGTTGTAAAGCACAGAAGAAGTGGCAACTAGGGCTCGAAAAAATGAGAAGCGGGAGAAATACGAGATTAAATGAAGTGTTTTTATGTAGTTTTTGAGTGCTGCAGCCCCTTCTTAAATGTTTCGAAGCAGAGCAAAAACAGCTGAGACTTCTTTATTTGTCTTTTGATAAAGAGTTCTCTAATTTCCGCACTCATTCGTCATTTTTTTCGAAACAAACTTTAGTTGAAAGTCGTATTAGTATTACAAATTTAACAGATAGATACTATGATGTCTGGTCACTAATGGATAACAGATGACGTCAAGATGTGGTAACACCAAAAAATTTGCACTCGAGGCGCAGCCGCGTGTGTCACCTCACTAATGCTCTTACCGTATTTTAACGTTTCTGTGATCTAGTACTGCACATTCACATGGTAAAATGGAATCAATTTGTTTCACATAATTAAGAAGCAAAAAATTGCTAATGGTGATGTCATCTATGCGTCTGTTCTCTTAGAGATTATAAGTGATAACCAATCAAAACGCGTGAACAGTTCAGCTTATCACATAAAAGGTTATTATTTTGTCTGTTATTATTATTTTTCCATTAAGGGTATTTAAGTGATGGTATATGCTATTGTGAGGAAAGACATACGCAGTCATGGATCTCCAGGTCTCCATTGAAACTGAATCGATAAATGCAACTGGCAAATAGATTTTAGGGGAGAGTGGGGGTATGTTTTTGAAAAGACTGTTTGTTATGTTTATTAAAGTTCTATTCTCCCAATACAAATGGATAATTAGAAAATTATCTTTTTTCATATTTCTCTGCTGAGAGAAACGTTTTAAAAGTCATTTTCACACCAAAAACTAGGCATCGCTCGATTTGATCTTAATGATAGCTCTCATATGGCGGCGACTTTTTCAGTTTTAACATACATGATGATTGGTAATTTGCAGATGCCGGGTAAAACTGTACAAACGAAAATTTAGAAAACACCAGTTTCACCAAATTCACTCAGAATATAAAAGCTGCGATCATGATTTAAATTTCAAGCTGAAATTAGCTATATCAATGAATATGCATACTTTGTCAATGAAACACCTCGTCATGTTTCCTCAAAGAATAATGTTTTTTTTTTCTTGGTGATCAACTTTATTTGAAGAACTGAGGATGTGCCGATCGCGGAGAACATACAAAGCACTCAGATGTTTTTCGTAAGCCTTCTAGTTGTAATTAAATAGCGACTGCGGCCTTCTTTGACCAGTCCTTTGCCGATTAAATAGCTGTAAAAACTGTACTTTTTTATTGTTATTATTTCAATGATTCGCATCAGTTTTGGTTTTTACCCTTTCTTTTGCTCCAACTAGAAGACCATTTAGCTTGAGTGATGTTGTCAGCTCACGTTCGTGCACACGATGTAGCTGAGACTACAGATTCTTTCTTAAGTAAGATTTGAAATTTTACGTTCCCTTGACAAAAATATCAATCAGAATGTTCCATAACTTCTTCTATATATGTAGCTGAAAACTTTCCGTGACTTTTCACTTTTGGCAAAGAGATCAATCCTAGAATATTGCGAGAAGGCAACTTTGAACAGTTTTAATTTAACAAATTGACCTTTTGAGTACAATTTGAGGACAGAAAAGTAGAGATGGTAAGTTTTGAGCTCAGTGAAGAATTAAGAAAGAAGTTTTTTCGTCTTGTCACGAGCGTAGGACAAAGAAAATTCTGAGTCCTCAAGAGGAATCGAACCTCATCACCGAGCTCAAAACTTACCATCTATACTTTTCTGTCAAAAACATTACGCTATCGACATTGCTGATCCTAGCAGTATGCAGGATGTGTGTCATTAGAACTTCCTAATAGATCCCACTCACCGAAGAGTCTTTGTGGCTTAGTGGTAGAACATCGGAGCGCAAATCCGAAGGTCTGAGGTTCGATTCCTCATGGGGGCTCAGAATTTTTCTTTGTCCCACGCTCGTGACAAGACGAAAAAATATCTTTCTTAATTTGAGGACAGTTGTGAAGTTGGTGGGTGTTTGAAATTTTATTTCGTAAAATTTGCTCATATCAGACGACACATTAAAAAAAACAATGAAATAGAATAACAACAACAACAAAAGAAATGCATCGATATTTCAACACGACTGTAAACACCTTCCAAGATCCTTTGAACGAAAGCATTTTGAGACACTTTGAAATGCCAAAGAATGATAACTAGATCAACTAAACTCGAAAATATGACTAAAACCGACTGATAACTCACGATGCACCATAAAATCCCAAGTTGCTTAGAAGCTCGACATGGAAAGAGAAACCTGGAATTCTAGAAAATTATCAGCCGATCTGCCATCGCGATTCAGAAAAATTTACAAAAAACCCGCAACACATGGGTTTTTTAAAGGTCAAAACCATTGATCGACAAATCTTTATTTACGTTCTTCCCTTCAAAAAGAGACACAAACACAACGTAGGCAGATGCTAATGCTTTCGTGTTTTTGACATTAAGTAAAATTATTTATGCGTATCATTTGAAAACGGTGAATTTTTTTACAGTTTTTGAACCATAGGAACATTTTTACCACGAAAATTCGAATTCAGTTCAAAGTAAACCAAGCGAACTTTTTTAAATCTAAAGCGATTTCCGGCAGAAGATTATTTTTCTGTCAAATTAAAAGCATAAGACAGTAAAAACAAATTACACAAGTGAATCAACATTTTGTATTATCAATGGCCATGTATAATTGATGACAAGGACACATCTTGCCCTTGTTGGTTTTATTTTCATTGTTAATTTTTGGGCTTTCAACCATGAGTTAAAAAGGGGGATCGGCTTAATGCTATCTAGATGATAAAGAATGTTCTGGCGTTGAATAAATATTGTTAAACTAAACGTTACGTTTTAGATCAAACAATAGATTGACGCAACATTTTCATCGCCGTAATATTTCAACTGCTACGTTTCACAACGGGATTGTTATGACTTCGATTTTGGCCTTGTCCTAACTGAAGTGTTAAACTTAAGGCTGTAAATAACCGTTTTCTTTTTTCTTACCTCCAGCGATTTACCTTCGCCTGTGACTCGTATGCATTCTCTAAAACGTAGTCATGTGTTTTTTTCCATGCAGTTAACATAAAAATGCATGCGAAAATGACATTAAGATTCATGATTAAACGTGACAGCTGTGCATAATGTTTGATAAATTAGAAATTTTTTTAAATCTTTTTCGCGAAGATTAGAGGCCGTATTTTAAAGTAGCATTTTAATCTTAAGGGAATTGAACACTTATTGAGTCTTTCTCTAGCTCTCGGAATAAGCCAGTAAAGAAAATGTCAGGTTCAAGTTAAGCATTTCAACTTTCAGTGTTATTAACATCAACCAGTTGGCCCCTGATAATTTCATAATTTATCGCAGGAATGATATTACTTGTCAAGCCGTTACCATGGTATCCAAATCGAACCGAAAGTGAAAATAACATAGCAAAACGAAAAGCTAAAATGACCCAAGCCACTCTCGTTCGTGTGGTAATATTCTGCGCTAAAAAGATTGTAAAATTATTTCAGTGGGTGTATTTTGTCAGTAACATACTGTTGCCACAATAGGGTCATACATGGTTGCTTGTAGATGGGGAATTTCTCTTCTCCTGTTCAATCTGATATCTTACTTGTTCGCTGCGCTCAGTTGTGAGATATCGCATTGAACATGAGACAAGAAATTTCATATCTAAAAGAAACCTTACATTAGTTTGTTTATTATCATAAAAACACCATAGGCCTTCACTGACAAGAAAAGCCGACTTTACTGACGAGAGTGGCGCGAAAGAGTGACGTGTTACCAGCCGTTTAGCGACATCAAACACACGTTATAAAATATCGTTAGTTTACGCGTGTGCAGTTAAGGTTTTTCTCAGGGCTGGAAATTCTTGTACCGCATTTAATATATCAGATTAAAAACAATTTCTCAGTGTAATATAATATAAAAGTAGCTCCTTTACCGTACACCCCAAAATAATGAAAAAGATATTTCAAAAAAGGAAGATATTTATTGCATTGATCTGAATAATATTATCCTTTTCATTAATCACCCGGTGGAAAGTTCCTCACCTTTTTACACTTGTGAAGCACTTAAAATTTTTCCCAAGCAAGAAACTATTTTTGGTTGCGTACATCAAAAAATTTAATCACTTTCCTACTCTCACAAACTTCCTTTCTGGTAGAGTCATTGTCTTTCGTAATCTAATTTAAAAAATAGCGTGTGTCTTAAAACACGTTTAATCCAGCAGAGCCCTTGACTCCCGTGATTAATGGCATGTTTAATGGCACGCAAAATAACAGCAAGGATTGTTGTCATTTTTCGTGCAAATTCTGTGTAGGATAGATTAATCTGTAAAAGAATAACATTGCCTTAAAATCTTATCCATCCTTTTGGAATTGAAAAGTCTTCAAATGATATCATCAGCATGGTTCTTTGTATATTTTCGTGGCAAATGGGAGTGGGAAAACTAGTCGCCGAGGTATTCTATCTCTCTTAAAGGCGAAACTAGTACAAGAAACAAGATTGATTCAAGTTATTCTGACATACTATTATGGATGTTAACTGTTCTCTGTCAGTCTTTTTTCTAACTGTTTGGTATTCTACAATGCAGGGACGATTGAATGCCATCGAGGAAAGTTGCATCTCATGTTTAAAACCCTCGACCAGAGTATTCTTCAAGTACATACAGACAAGTTGAACTACGAACACCATGTCAATTGAAATATAACAATGGCCAATTTTAATGGCTTTCCAAATATAGATAGGCCTTGAAATTCAAACGTCTACGATACACATAGGCGGGTTGTACTTCCCAAACGCTTTCATTTCCACAT